TTTGAGGACAGTGAGTCGATATCAAGACAATCCTAGTGATAGTCATTAGACAATCGTAAAGAATATCCTCAAGTATCTGAAAAGAACTAAGGATATGTTCTTAGGTTATACAGATAGAGAATAGTTGTGAGTTACAGGTTATTCTAATTCAAGTTTCCTGACTAATAGGGACAACTCATGTTCATAATCATGTTGGGGGAACTTGATGAATGGACGAGGTGACATGAAAAGTTAAAACTAGAAAATAGTGGATGACTCAACGTGCGAGTCAGAGTATATTGCAGGTAGTGGAGTGGAAAAGGAAGCTACATGGTTAAAGAACCTCATAGGTGATCTTGGAGTTGTAAAAGCATTAAATAAGCATTGGATATATTTTGTGTTAACAAGGGTACCGTCGCCTTGACTAAAGAACTCAAGGATCATGGTAACTCGAGACACATACTCAGAATTCCCACTACGTTCGATATACGGTAGAAGACTAAGAAATCATCGTGAATAGAGTATCATCTGAGGAGAATCATGTTGATCCATTCACAACGACATTATCAAGAAAGATACATGATGGTCATGCAAGGAGCATTGGCATAAGACCTTTTATTGGTCTAATGTAATATTTTAGTTGATTAGTTTCAATTGTTTTGAAACATATAACAGTGTGAATTGTAACTGTTTTGATGTTTATTTTGTAGTGATTTAATAAAGAGCTTTTCTTTGCTACGAAAGTTATGTTAATTCAATATTATGTTTCACTTTTTCATGTTTTGCACTCGCTTCCATAATAATCAAATCATATTCAAACCTCCACAGCCAGTCATACTCTAGGAAGTGAGTGAGTGATTTAAGATTGTCATGAGTATTGGTTGATTAGCCATAGAGATTGAACATTGCATAGAGATTGTGCTAACACTCATGAGAACTTGAAAATATAGATTTTAACTATTGTAACAAGCCACACTTAGAGATTACTTCAAGGATATAGTCATGAGTAATTCTAAAATCACAATAACTTTTATTCTTCAAACCGAGGTGCATTTGGGGTTTTGTTTTCAAAATCTGATGTTCATTGGTCTATTCTAACGTTATCTGTGACTGCTAGTAATAAAGGATATGTCCATGTATGATTAGAAGAGTAGAAAAAAACTATGTAGTCAAAGTTTACTTGTTCCTCCTTATAACTCGAAAGGGGTATTTATGGGACCCTTAATCATTTGGTGGTGATATCTGATGTGCTTAGTCGAGCCCTTACTAAATTGATGTGTTCGATTTAGAAGTTAGATATGATAATTAGAAATCTTTAATAGGAAAACAGAATGTTGAATGTTGAGATTGACCCTTATACATGCCTCATGTTCACAGAGATGTCTATAACAAAAGAATAATTGATCACTTGTCTAATGATTAGATTTTTTTATTATGATCAAAGTTTGGCAGTTTCATTGGTTGACTATTCTTTGTTGATTGTTAGTGAAATATCTGATCCTATAAGTTCACGACTTATCCAAGTGGAAGACTGTTGGAAATTGTCTCCAAGTTCATTAAATGTTTTGTTAATATTTCTAATAATAGCATGTTCCTTTTGGGTTAGACTCATTACACAAATAGCAATAGGAAATACAGAAAATAAGTTATTAATTTATTAAGTAATTAATAAATTAATTAGAAATTATTTTGGAATTAATTAAAAAGAGCTTGAATAATAATTAAATCATAGAGATTAATTGGAATGTTCTAGAAGCCCTTGGAAGACTATATGGGACGATTTTGATATCCCTTAGATAGGGATACAATAGTTTTTGAACCGGATACGGATTATCCTGAAGAATTTGAATCTCTTAAGGATTTATATGTTGCCTATAAATAGTTTGCTAGGGTCACTAGTTGTTGGTTCTCTCTCAAAACTGATCCATACTCCTTTCCTTTTTCCCCATATGCGGAAATTATAACCTTATACTACGGGTTATAGGATTCTCGAAAAACCCTTCCATAGGGTTATTCCTTGTTATCTTTAAGAGTTTATGGGTCTAACTACATTAAAGGGACTCTCTTTTAGATTTGTAATCTATTGCAAGGTCTACTATTCTCAACGTCTCAAGAAAAGAACCAAGAGATTATTGATCTTCCTTTTAGTCGGTTTTTAAAGTTTATTGTTATAACCAGTAAAACCTGGATCTTAGGGTGTATGTAACCTTAAGTAAATTTTGATTATTTTCATTGCCTATAGAAAGTTTATTGATGCTAATAAAACCCAACAGGTTCAAAGATTCATATATAATGCAAGGCATCCATTTTGTTTTAACGAAAGAATATAGAGAATCAGTTTCTAGATGAAGTGTGTTAAATCCACAAACTTATGGAGCATCACAAACTTGTAAGAACTCACGGAATATTATAATGAATTTTGATGCATGGTGTGTTTTTATGGATACACGACTACAATGAGAAACTCTTCATGAAGGTGTAACAATCTCCATCTCCTCTTTACAAAATAATTTCAGAAGAATTCGGTCTAGTGTGTTTGTTGGGAAAAAATAAGTCAACAAGCGTGGCAAACATTCCTACTAAGAAAAATGTGTGATAGAGAAATGGTATTTGGCTTATTTAAAATCGAACACCTACACTCAACTACGTGAATGATGCTTAGTCAGGAAGCAATAACAAAAAACATACCCAACACCTGCAAAGGGTTGAGATAATACCTGAGCATGTGAATGGAAAATTTATCTTCCCATTTTACCACTCTCATCCTTTGGTAATCGATAAATCTTTCTTGTAGTTGATTATAATTATGCTACGTTGGTGTATATGCTAAAGTTGAATGATGAAACATTTGGTCTTGTTAGAAATTTTCATTTGTTGGTAAAGAATGAAACACATGTTAAGCTTAAGACATGTGGAAAATATCATAGGGGTTAATTAATTCGAATTCACCACCCATTATAACGAAAAATGCCTAAACCAACAGTTCATGATATTGTAATCCCCACAGATAGAATGGTTTCATGAAGAAACATAGTTATACCAATGTCAATATAGAAAGAAGCATTTTGAAGAGTATGTATGTACCTAGAACACTATGGGATCGATGAAGTTATATACATGTAGGTATAGATGTAAAAGTTGAAGAATATAAATGGTGTTGATGCATATAAATAGTGAAGTAAAAGACTAGTCAAAGAGACACTTTTGTTCATAAAGGGTGCAACTCACCAAGCCATAATGTTGAAAGGGAAACTTAACCATCCATGTCATTGTACCCCAAAAGTACGACTAAAGACTCAAACCAAAACTCATTAATTGAGCAGGACCAATCACTAAAAACCCCCCAAATTCTTCCTCTATGCCCATCACACTAGGTAGCTTGGTTGGTTCGACTACTATATCATCAAGCTCGAAAAGAGGAGGAACTATGTTAAGTTAGTGATTTAACTTATATTTATGATGAATGTTTAGAACTGTTATTTTCGCAATATATTGATGAATCACATCATAGTCCATGGCCAAAGAGAATGAATTTGGGTCAAGGTGATGAGAAGTAAGCTAGGTGCAACTGAAAGGAGCCAAACCTAGAGCCTCACTCATCTAGCAATATGTCATAAACCCATTAGCCTTAAATGGGTTTATAAGTAAAAGAAGATCTAAACAAGAATGTTATGAAGTATAAGGCGAGACTTGTAGCGAAAGGTTGTGTACATATTCCTAGGTTAGATTATGATGAAGCTTTTACGGACGTTGCATGATTTGAAATGAAATAGATTTTACTTTCCCTCATGGGTAAAAATAGGTGGAAAGTACATCATATCGACATGAAATTTGCATTATAAATTATGATTTGGAAAAAGAAGTTTACGATAAACCAACCAGTAGGATTTGTGATGCATGGTCAATGTTGAAACTTTTACAAGTTATTAAAGGCTCTCTATATCCAAGGGAAAGGAACTACCGTTTAGAAATATATTTTAAAGGGCATGGTTTTGTGAATTTTCATAAAGAGGATGTTGTTTATATCGAAAAAAAGATATGGAAAACTACTAATTGTTAGCATTTATATTGATGATTTGATTGTTATAAGTAATTGTGATGTTGAAGCAGAAGAATTCAATGCTCAAATGAATAGAGAGTTTGAAAGAATAAATATGGGAGCTTGCTCATATGACCTTAACATAGAGGTGGCTCAACTAGAAGGTGGAATTACCTCGAAAGAGGTTGCCTATGCAAGGAACTTGGTTAAAAAGAAGGAATGACAAAAATGTAATCTTTCTAAATATTTGAGGGATACAAAGTTAGAATTAAGTAAGAACACGTAAGCAAATCAATTAAGCCTAACATAATATAGAAGTAACGTGGGTGACTTTAGATGTATAACTCACATGGAATTTTAGTATGGTGAGTAGATTCATAACTCACATTTTGTATGATGTGAGTATCGTGAGTAGATTCATGGCGAAACCCACAAGTGTGCATCTACAGAAGGATCTTAAAAACAATGGGATGTTGCTACTTCCTCAAGTGAGGGTGAATGTATTGTTGCTACATCAACACCATGCATGTCAATGAATATGGATATGATGATTACTAAATAGCAATATTAGTGCAATAATGTTGTATTTTGGCAATAATTCTAAACTAGTATTGATGTAGAACCTGATGTTTCACCAATGGAACACATGGTTTCTTTCTATACGAAAATGTATTGAGAAAGGGGATAATGCAGTCAAGCATATGATTAGCTAAGAACAACCGACACACATTGTCACAAACTCTATGGCCATAGCCAATATTATAGAAATGCAAGAATGGTTTGGATTCAAGAACGTAACATATTCTAGATTAGAGGGTCAATTTAAGATGTTTAATTTGACTTATCTTGTTTTGATTTTGATTTTATATTTCCTACACTCGAGTAGAGACAAACATAGAAGTCCGTTCCATTTTTGATGTTTTCTTTCCCGGTATAAGAGTTTATTTTGATGTGTGCATATTATTTTTGAATTCAATAAAAACACAGCAGAAAACATGACCTAAAATACCCTCCATTAATACTTGTTATTCTTTGTTTTTCTCTTTCGTTGTTCTCACGACAAGAGACCTGACACTTTCATTATCTTTATTTTAAAGATTCTTTTTCAACATTGTAAACGATAGAAAAAGAAGACCAAATGCTGAATCACATAAATTTCAATTCCTCTATTCAATCTTAGGAGGTGCTTAAAATTTATGATGTCAGAGAAATAATTATGTACGGGAAACATATGTTATATATTATCGGCACAACACAATTGCAGATTATAAAACACTCATATGTTTGTTAGGAAGCATTTCCTCCATATTCATAGTCATATAAGGCTTTGTATTAGAGGAAAATGAATAGATTGTATCAAATGCTTGGAGGTGGTTGACCTCCTTCTGCAGGAGGTGGTTGACCTTCTGCCGGAGGTGGTTGTCCGCCTTCTCCTGCCGGAGGTCCGGGAAAAGTTGGAGTGGGTGCCCCGTTTTCAGGAGGAGCAGTAGAGGGAGGAGTAGGAGACGCCTTGGCCTCACATTTGGAGTAGCAAAAGCACATGTATTTCGCTTCGCGTTGATGACAAGCTCCATGTTCTGCACCCTCCCACTCTATGCACTGCTTGTCGCATAGTTGTGTGTCTTTACACTTCCCAAACCATGTCTTGCTAGGCTTTTCGCATAATTTCCCCATAACGGTCGTGATTTCTGTTCACGCCATTAAAAATGGAATTTAGTTAATGAAAATTTAGTTAATTGAGATAATGTTTAGCCGTGCGGTGTCACATATATTGGAAAGGTGCCACTCAACCTAAAAGTTGATAGTTCAAGTCCAGTGATATAGCAAGATGTTGATTTAATTTAGTAGTAGGATTAGAATAAGATTACCGGTGTGTATTATAGCCGGATGAGAATAAGATCACAAGGGTGTATTATAGTTGTTAAAGAAGTTAAAAGGAAATGAAAAATATGTGTTTCTCAAATCTATTAAGTCATTGTTTACCATTAAACTTGTTTATTTATTTGTTCTATCCGTTATCATATTTTGACTTCTGTATTACAGATTTTATCTTGCCTATTTTCTATTGATAAGTTTTGTTGTTCCATAAGAAGAATACATTTTGGGTATTTTTATAAGTATAATATTTTACTTACCTAGAATAAGTTAAAGCAAGTAAATTGGTTACCAAAAAAAAAAAAAAATCATGTATCTACCAAATAATTGGCATCACATCACGAAGTCCCATTAAAGATGAAGACCTAATTCTCGAAATCAATCTTTCTTGATGAAAAGTAGTGTTTTTATTAGATAAATCGGAAAATATTAGTAGGTAGACAAAGGTTGGTTCCACAATAGTTCTAGAAAGCTGCCAGAAAATATTAGTAGGTAGACAAAGGTTGGTTCCCGAACATCATGTATAATTAATTTTTTACCAAGTAGAGAGATCGAGAGTAGGGATGAACATATGGATCGGGGAACCAACCGGAACCGGTACCGGCACCGGAACCCGATGGAACCAGTCGGTCCGGGACCGGGACGTTATTTTTGTGGATTTTTGGAACCAGGACCGGTAGGAAACGGAACCGATATAACTGGAACCGCTAGAACCGGCAAAAACCGGTAGAACCGGCAAAAACCAGAACCGTATGATGTTATTTTTCGAGAACCGGTTCCAACATTTGAAGACATGACAAGAAGCAGTAGGAATCAGGAATCGGTAGAACCATCGGGCCGGTTCGGTTCTTAATTTTGGCCGAAGCCGGTTCCCGGGTCGGGTCCGGTTCGGACCGGTTCCGAATGGTTCGGTCCCTTTGCTTACCCCTAATCGAGAGAGCTTCGATCGAATTGTTTGATGGTATCATATTTTTGTTATGATTAGGTTCTGACGATGCAATAGGGTTTTTTTTTTCTGATTTGAGTGTACGACTCGATCATAGAAGGAAGGACATGGAAAAACACAATCGAATCGATTGAATGTAGATTATCTGGTATAGCAAGAAAAATACGATTAAGAAAATGACTTTTCAATTCAGGGTTGGATATTTAGAACTTAATAAGCCTAATATAGATAATCGAGAACCGAATCGAATTGCTTATTCGGGCCTAATCGATTCGGTTCGGTTCGTGTTTCAGTTTGGTTTGGATTTTCATGTCAAATTCTCATCCCTAATGTTATGCTTTTTCTCGGGATATATAAGTTTGATATGAGAGAGAGAGACGAATGGCGGACTCTATTTTTTTCTCTTTTATTAGTAAAAAACTTAGTTTTAGTGCTTGGTGTGGGTGTGTATGAGAGAAGTAGGTCTCATATGTTTAATGAATAAAATTTAAATTAAAAAGAAAAAGTTTTAAACAAATATTATAAGGCCAATTAATCATTTCAATTTTAAAATGAGTCAAATTCACAAAGAAATATGCTAAAAATGACAAATTTTATAAATCTCATAAGGTTTGGACCGCATCTTGGAAAATATATAAACCGCAAAGACGGTTTTTATAGATTTATCTTTTTATTAAGACAGAACATCATAAATGGTCCACGTGGTTTCCTAAAAATGTGGATATACTTCAAAAAATCTCATACCTATAGTCTCAAAATTTTTAACAAATAGTTTCTCTCCTATATAAACAAAATTATATTCTTTTTAGTTTCTTTTACATTTTTTTCAATTAAAACCATTAAAAAAAGAAAATAGAAATAATTAACACACACACTCTTTCTTATCAAACACACAAACAGGCAAAGAAAAAACCCACCCCGTACGTCTTTTTTTTAACTTTCTTCCCCAACCCATTGTGTTTCCCTTCAAATCTTGAGTTAGAGGTCTCAAATGAGAGAGAGAGAGAGAGAGAGAGAGAGAGAGAGAGAGAGAGAGAGAGAGAGAGAGAGAGAGAGAGAGAGAGAGAGAGAGAGAGAGAGAGACCCATGTTATTTTTTTCCTTTTTGTTTTAAAATAGATTTAAACAAATAAAATCAAAAAATATATTAAAAAGGGTAGATAAGTATTTTTATATATGGGTGATTGACTATCAGTTAAATGTATGAGTTTGGAAAGAACGATTTGGTTTGGTTAAAAGCCAAAACCGAACCATAACCATTACATTCGGTTAATATATTTTTGTAGTTATTAGGTATCGATTACTATTGCTTATGTTTAATGGTTTTAATCAGTTGATAGTTTTGGTTAATGGTTAATGTCGTTTAACCATAATGAAAAAAAAAAGATATATAAATTCAAAATACATCGGCATAAAAAAGAAAAAAACAGAAAGTTATTGGGGTACTCGAATACATGAACAAATCGTTAATATACTATAAATTGATAAACTCAAAGGATGAGCAAAAACTTAATAAACATTTCACTGATAATGTTTCTAGGGATGGGAAATCTAAAGAAATGTAACGTTCAATTAGTGTGTCGTTCCATTAAATATGTAAATTTACAAAACTAAAAATTCGCCAATTTGAGATTGCAACAAAATATGAAATATGTAGAACTCAAACCCCAAAACATACATGTGGACTTCCAAGGTCAAATTTTTTAACTGAACCAGTTAAGTATTAGACTTGATTAGTTGATTGGAAAACATTTAGCTTTAGCCAAACACTATCTTAGATGTATAAAAATCAATGATCTACTGGATTTTCATCAATTTTTAATTAGGTTTATACATTATTGATATATCTATAATTTATAATATATATATATATATATATATATATATATATATATATATATATATATATATATATATATATATATATATATATATATATATACATACCATTTTATCGGTTCAGTTAATAATGGATCTGTTATCCTATAAAATTAAAACCGAACCGCTTTCTATCGGTTACTAGAAAATAGAAACCGAACCAATTGTTATAAAAATGATTCCGTTATTATGGTTCGGTTTTATTGACTAATTTGGTTATGGTTCGATTTTATTGTTATATTGCTCATCCAAATTAAAAGTTTATAACGATTATTTATTAAAAGCTTTGAAACCATTTAAACCATCAATAAAGGTTTTAATTTAGATAGTATATCCCTTATTTCAAAAAACCAAAGATTATTTACAAGGTTTTGTCATTTATTAATAAAATACATCATGTTTTACGGGGAAATAATTATTCCCAATTATACCAAGAAAAGCATCTTAAATTTATTGCAGGCTCCTTGTGATAAGTACTGGTAAATATAATTGAAAAATTAAAAGAGAGATAAATAAGTTTGATTCAGCACCTGAGATACATAAAACGAAGGCGAGTAGAAGGAATGCAAAAAATGAAGATGAATTTCTGGTCATCTTGGAGTTATGGCGAATCTTAAGACCACTCGGCATTGAACTGGGTGAAAAAAGTTCGACAAGATGGGGTATTTATAGGAGAAGCGAAGGTGAACATAAATTTTGAGAAGAGTAGATCATAAAAATAACCAAGCTTCCCACACGTGATATATATATATATATATATATATATATATATATATATATATATATATATATATATATATATATATATATATATATATATATATATATATTATATATATATATATATATATATATAAGGTTAGGTTCATTTGATACCACCTATATTTTGTGAGACCCTGAGACGTATTTTTTTATTTTTTATTTTATTTTTTATTTTTTTTATTTTTTTAGTTAATTCATGTTCCGAAAATAATATTTAAAAAAGAATTTTTTGATTTTTCCATTTATTTTGCATTTTAAAATTATTTTTAAAATATGTACAGTGTTAATATTCTATTTAGAATATTTCACGTATTTTTCAAATAAAATAGAATTTTTTATTTTTATTTTTTTACTTAATTCAAATTCCGAAAATAATATTTAAAAAAAAGAATTTTTAGATTTTTCTATTTATTTTGCATTTTAAAATTATTTTTTAGAATATGTCAGTGTAATATTCTATTTTAAATATTTCACGTATTTTTCAAAAAAAAACGGAATTATTTTTATTTATTTTTTTTTATATTTTTTTAGTTAATTCAAGTTCCGAAAATAATATTTAAAAAAAGAATTTTTGGATTTTTCCATTTATTTTGCATTTTAAAATTATTTTTACATTTGTTCTCACGGTCTCACAAAATTAGAATGGTCTCAAATGAACCTGAACCTATATATATATATATATATATATATATATATATATATATATATATATATATATATATATATATATATATATATATATATATATATATATATATTTTCAGGTTTATTTAAGATCATTCTAATTTTATGAGACCGTGAGACTAAATCTAAAAATAAATTTAAAATGCAAAATAAATGGAAAAATAAAATTTTTTTTTTTTAAATATTATTTTCCGAACTTGAATTAACTAAAAAAATATCCTTTTTTTTTAAAATACGTGAAATATTCTAATAGAATAACACTGACATAGTATAAAATATAATTTTAAAATTCAAAATAAATGGAAAAATCTAAAAAAAAAATCTTTTTTTAAATATTATTTTCGGAACTTGAATTAACTAAAAAAAATAAAAAAAATTCCATTTTTTTTTAAAAATACGTGAAATATTCTAATAGAATATTACACTGTACATATTCTAAAAAATAATTTTAAAATGCAAAATAAATAGAAAAATCCAAAAATTCTTTTTTTTTTTTAATATTATTTTCGGAACTTGAATTAACTAAAAAAAATATAAAAAAAAAAATCTTTTTTTTTTTTTTGAAAAATACGTGAAATATTCTAATAGAATATTACATTGTACATATTGTAAAAATTAATTTTAAAATGCAAAATAAATAGAAAAATCCAAAAATTCTTTTTTTAGATATTATTTTCGGAATTTGAATTAACTAAAAAATAAAAAAACATGATATATATATATATATAGACACACACACACACATACACACATACAGATTAAGAACCCTAAGAATCATTTTTTTTTTTTAAATGTTTTAATTATGTCTATTTTAGATAAGTCAAACACTAATAATGCTGTCAATTTACAGTTTGAAATAAAAAAATCACAGTTTAATACACAAAAATCACAACTTAATACAACAAATTCACATTTTAGTACATAAAAAAACATGCATTTATAGCCATATTATCACCTTAAATGTCTTAATATAGTCAATACATAGTTTACTACATAAAATTCAAAACTTAATACAATCAATTCACAGTTTAATATATAAAATACACAATTTAATATAGTTAATTCACAATTTAAAACAAAAAAAATCAAAGCTTAATGCATTCGTTTTCAGTTTAAAACACAAATATCACAGCTTAAAATACAAAATTCACAACATAATATAATAAATCACAGTTTATATATAAAAAATATATATTCACAACTTAAAAAAAACATAAATTCATATTATTTGAGAAGGAACTAACATAATAACACACATTCTAAATCAAATTCATAAAATAGTAACCATAAAACATAAACTTTGGATAACATTTGTAAGCAAATATTATTTAAAAGAATAAAAATAAAAAACAAACATGGATTCACAACTTAATAGCTGAAGACATGATTAACAAAAAAACAAACAAAAATAAGATATTAAAATATTAAATTCATAACTAAACAAAATAAAAAATAATAGAAAGAAAACTTTTTTTTTTCATCACTAATATCAAGGGTGGAGCAAGATTTTAGAATAAAAGGGTTTACCTTATAATATAATTATATATACTCTTAAAAATAAAACTCAAAACTTGTATAGTTAATAATTCAAATTTTGAAAATTTAACTAAATTCTTAATTAAACAAAAAATCATAAAACTTATATTAAGCTAAAAATAGAAAAGTAAATAAGAGTCAAAAGCAAATGTAAAATGTAAATAAAAGCCAAAGCAAAGCCATAGAACATCGAATATCATATTTATATAATGAGAAATAGTGAAAAAAACTTAAACTTTAATATGATAATGTGTAGTGGCTAGACTATTGCAATATAAAGAAAAACAATATATAACACGTTAGATAATGTACAATAAAGCTGGTAAAATTAAAAAGAAGGGATGATGACTTAAAACAGTAATATGTTTTTCAATTTGTACACATTTAGTTTCTGATTTTTTTCGTCCATATTTACCCTTTCAACTTGTTAAACTATACACATTTAGTCCTTATGACCGGCTAATCCAAGTTAGCCGGTAAAAATGACTTAATATGGTAATATATTTCTCACTTTCTACACATTTAGTCCTTAATATTTTCTTACGCATTTTTACTATTTTTTTTGTTGCAAAATAAGTCATTTTTTTTTGTATTCATTCAGTATCTACGAATGATTTCTTTAGGTTTTTTCACGACATCTTATGTGGGATAGCCATATGGTGGTGGGATAGATTGAGGTGGTCCTGCTATAAGTTGTAGACCAAGATACCTGGTGCGGCCCGACTATAAGCTATAGGCACAAACACTCGAGAAGAGCGGTTGGGTTAAGGCGGCATGCCAACAAACCCTAGGTATTTCAGCCCAATGACTGATTGGACCTGTTGCATGTTGGCATTCTAGTCCGATGATTGATTGGGCCAAGGTATTCCAGTCTGATGAGTGTGGATCCGTTATGCATGATAATACGTTTGTTGTATTAGGTATTTTAGGGGAAACCCACTAAACTTTGTGCTTACCCAATTATTTATGCTTTGAGGTTCTATCCTTGGTCGTGGGAAGGAGAATGCATGACTGTACACACTCATAAACAATATTGAGGATTATGCGTTTCTTATATTACTCTGATTTTCGATAAATGTATTTTGGTATAAACGTTTTTTCTTAACAATGGATTTATAATTATGGAGTTTTGCCTTATTTAAAAATGAAAACGTTTTGTTGTGAAAATGAGACATTACACATAAACACATGGCTTAGGTAGAGATCGGGACTTGAAATGGCCTTGGAAATGGAGTTTACGGTCTATGAAGATGTTCTTGGGGAGTTTACTACCTTAAACACATGAGTTTACAACCGTAAACTCATGTTTGTTCATGATTCATGGGTGTTGGTGTTTTTAGGTTAATCACATGTGATTCTAGTCCAACATACAAGCCATTCAAGGTGTTAAGGACACTTAAACACCCATTTGAAGAGTTTATGGTCTAAGGATATGAGTTTACGGTCTAAGAATGTTCTTGGACTGTAAACTCTACTTTTTCCAATTTATGATTGTATTGGTGCATTTCTTGAAGGGTTGTAAGGTTATATGCACTCATGGAAGTTCATTGAAGGTGTTTAGGGGCAAACTAACACCCTAAAAAGTGTTTAAGGTCTATGAATGAGGTTTTACGGTCCAAGCATGTTCTTGGACCGTAAACTCATGTTTGGTCCCTTCTTGTATGATTTGGTGCTTCAAATGATGGAGTAGAAGGTCCTAGACATGTTTGGAAGCTTTTGGTGGTGTTTAAGGGCATTTTTAACACCTTAAGAGGAGTTTATGGTTCATGCATGGGGGTTTACGGTCCAAGAAGGTTCATGGGCCATAAACTCATGTTCACACATCAAATGTCATGATTTTGGGGTCCTTAGTTCATGCATGCAAGTTTCTAAGTCGAATCTAAGCCCTAAATGAGGTTTGGAAGGGTTTTATGTCACAAAAATCCTCATAAGAGGTGTTCACGGTTTTGGGAGGGTCCCCAAATTCACATGTTTTTTGGGTGATTTCAACATGGATTTGCATGCTATTCAAGTTAAACAACAAGTTTAGGATGGATTGCTTACCAAATAATGCTTGAAATGGAGTTTTTGGACCACTTTCGAGTTCTATAGAGAGAGAGAGTAGTGAGAGAAAGTAGAGAGAGAGTGAAAAAGCTTCAAATGAGGCTCTCTCAACTTTATATATGCTGAAAGTTTGAGACACGGTGGAATTCTACCCGATACCGACGTCATACGATGCTTTTGGTCGCACCCGATAAAGTTGTCGTAATTACGACTTAAATAAAAACTAAATATTTTCTAAATCAAATAGAAAATATTTTAGTGTTTTAAAATGTATTTCAATACTTTTAAAACATTAATAGAAGTCGCAATAAATTATTTAAAACAAAGTTAACGGAAAATTTTGGAACTTAACAGCTTTATTAACGAAAACGGGTTATTGTGACGGAAATAAATCACGGGTTGTCACACCACGCACGTTCTTAAAATTTTATAAAACGACATTAATTTTAGGACACACAAAAATTCATGTCGTAAATACTTTAAATTTTAGCAGACACGACATTATATTTACGACAAAAATTTTTGCATCTTATAAAGCCAATACGTGTCATAGTTCACATGTCATTAAAGGCCTATATTCTACTAGTTTTAGTTTTATGATCATGTATTAGATAAATTAAATTACATTACACATTTTGTGTGGAAATATCATTTGATTGGTGTACTTCTACTAGAACTTCCA